GAGGCTGAATACTCAAAGCTAAGTTTTCTTAATTTTGGGGTTAGAAAAGTGGGTGGGCATCTTATAAATGGAAAAATATGGTATTTATTCTCCTCACTAATCTGGCCACTATATTCTGAACCTATTGGGAGTTTCTGTATCAGTCTCAAGGGTGGCCTCACACAGAGCATATTCCAATAATAATTAGCTATGGATAGAGGCGGGGAAGCGCGGGCTGGACTCCTTCTGCAGTTGGCACAACGCTGACAGATGTGTGTGCCATGTGGAGCCCCAGTGAGTGGACTGGTTCCGGGGGCAGGGGAGGGAATGGACTGCTGTGACACCTATGGTGCCATGCTTCATATTCATATTCCCTGGATCTGAATATAAAGTCCCCATCTCCAGGAATAATGGTAGGGACTCCATGTTTGTTTCTTTATTTCTGTACAGTATTCAGAATTCAAGATAAATCTTGCACATGCTGTTTACCAAGTTGGGTGCTCCCACTCAACCCCAAAGAGTGAGTTCTTCCCAAAGGGAAATCATCTAACTACAAATTGGCAAATTTTAATCAGAACAAAGGTGCTAGAGAAAGGGTTTAAATGATTCTTGCCATCATCTTAAAATTTGGAAAGCTTCCGTTGCTCTCAGAATTTCCCCCTAGCCAATATGGCTGGTGGCTGTTTTGCTTGTTATGTGGCCTAATGGCAAAGCAGGGTTTCCATCTCTTCTGTGGTAACACAACCGACTCTTTCCAGACGCACCTTGGTTGCAACAACCTTCAAATGCTTCAACCTCCCAGATTAAACTATTTTGGCGGAGAACAGTGGAAGACGCTGCTGCATGCAGTAGGCAGCACCTAAAGAGATTTACACCAGAAGTGTAAATCTGGTCCCGCTGGCGTGTGAGGATCACAGAATCGTAGAACGGTAGAGCAGGAAAGGGCTCCTTGGGGCCATATATTCCCAACTCCCAGCCAGAGGAGGAATCCCACAACCAATGCATCAACTGTTAACTGCTAATTGCACTAATCAAGCAGGGTTGGTGGCAAGCCTTTGGGTGCGAGTCCCAGTGAGTCTGTACTTTCACCCCCCAGAAAAAAAGGGAGTTGGGTGGGTTCCAAGTTGTAAATTGAGTCTGAGTCACGGGGATGGGGGTGGGGGGTGGACAAGTCAAGTCGCCTGTGTGACTGAAGTCCAACTTGACAGTGAGTCCAACAACTAGAGTCCCCATTCCTGTAATCAAGCAGTATAAAAGTTTAATTAATTAATTACATAAACTCTAGTAATGCATACATATAAAATGTCAACAAGGCATCCCAATACCGGCAACGGGAAAGTACCATATTTTTTCGTGTATAAGACGCTCCCATGTATAAGACACCCCCCACTTTTCTAATCCAAAATTAAGAAATCTAAGTGGGGCTTAGCAAGTGTAGGGGGAAAGGGATCAAAGCGCTGCAGGATCGCTTTGATCCCTGCTTTCCCCTCCACTTGTTTTTGTTCTCTCCTCAGCTTACCCTCAATTTTTAGTCTAAAGATTTTAGACAATAGTATAGTCTTATATACGGAAAAATACGGTGTCGTCTTTCCCCAGTGGTTAGGACCAGCTGAGTATGGCTTCCAATGTTCCAAGATGCTTACAGTTCCAGAACCTCACATAACCTGAATGCAGTGAATGCTGTTGGAGTCGTTAACCTGATTAGCTTTGTAGTGGTTTCTAACACAATATCCAATCGCAATAAGTGTTCTAATGACCTTTGCGGAGAATGGCATGATCTTAGGGGGGGAGGGCGTATCTCCCAGGAGACCAGGGATAAAATGTTCTAACGTGGCCACGCTAGTGTGGCATAGAGGTTTCTTCTGATTAAACCTGAAGGTTTCCTACCGGGAACTGAAAGCTTTCTAATGAAGGATTGAACTGGATTTGGGCTGTGCCACAATGAAAAGCTCTTTGTTCGCCGCTGAAAAGCTTGGAGGACTCAACAGTTTGGTTCCCAACAAACACTTACTTTAGGCCACCTGGAAACACTAATCTAGGCACACATTTCTGTGGAACAAAGCATTCCCCTAACGTCACTTTCCCCCTCCCTGCTTCATTAAAACTCCCGAAGAGGTTTAACGTTCAAGCAAGCTGCTGCTAAGGGATGAGTTATTGTGGGCAAATTTGGGAGGTTTGGGGGGAATGTTTAATTGTTTACTCTTTAAAGCATTAAGAATCTTAACCGAGAACTCCGCCACTTGGGCTTAAGCACCACGGAAGCTGAGTTCATACCTTCTGTCGGTGGTGCAAGAGCCATTTCTGTCTGGTCTGATCCTGAGCAATTCTAGTAATCTGAGAAAATGTGTAGGATTATTATTATTAGTGCAGCATGGTGTTAATCTTCTTAAGAGCCAGATTAATCAACTGAACTAGTTGATTGATTGGTGGCAAAGAGTTCTAGTTGGTGAAAGGCTGGGAGTGAAAGGCTATCAGAGAAAGCCAGAGGTTGGAAAACTTTCTAACTACAACTCCCAGAATCCTCTACCTAGCATGGATTTAGGGAACTATAGTTCAAAAAAGGAACTTTTCCAAAGTTTGCAGAAAGTCAGAAAGGTTTCCTAAAGATCACTGAATGCAGAGTCTTTTCTTCCAACAATGAGTGACGGCTTTTGCATGTTGAACTATAAACTAGTCCAAGTTTCTATGAGTATCTCAGAAGGTTGCTTTGGTTTTGACAGCATGTGCAATTTTCTGAATTAATTAGCAAAAAAGGAATTAATCAGCTGTCAAGCTGATATTGGTAAGTACTGTCAGGTTTTGTGGAGTTCAGATATCTTGAGGCAAAGGGGCACAACCCTGTGAAGGTTAGTCCTGGCTGAGGACTCTTCCAAATAGAACATGACTTCTCTTTCACATTCCAGGTTCTACACTCCTCTTTAATTAGTATTCTTACTGCAGAGACATTTCCCGTGACTTTCCTTTTCTTCCCTACTGAAAACATGGTTTACTTACCATACATTAAGAAGGATTCTGACAAACTGGAACAAGGTCAGAGAAGGACAACGAAGATGTTCAGGGAACAGGAAACCAAGCCTTATGAGGAAAGACTGAAAGAACTGGGCATGTTTAGCCTTGAGAAAAGAAGACTGAGGGGAGATAGGATAGCACTTTTCAAATACGTGGAAGGCTGTCATACAGAGGAGGAGCAAGATCTGTTCTCGATCATCCTAGAGTACAAGACACATAATAATGGGCTCAAGCTAGAGGAAGCCAGATTTAGGTTGAATATGAGGGAAATTTCTTAACTGTTAGAGCAGTACAACAATGGAACCCATTACTTGGGAGGTGGAGAGCACTCCAACGCTGGAGGCATTCAAAAGAAACTTGGACAACCATCTGTGAAATCTAGTTTGATTTGAATTCCTGTTCTTAGGAGGAGGTTGGACTTGATGGCTTTATAGGCCCCTTCAGACTCTGTTATTCTGTGATTCTATGGTTCTATATTGGTTTTTTTTTCTTTTTCATTGTGGGGAGAGTTATTTAGTGCTATGGTGCTTCCAGTTTGAAAGCTATGTCTGCTGAAAGTTTTGTAGTCCAGAGCTCTCAATTAGCTCTCAAACATCACCATACATAATAATGGGCTCAAGCTAGAGGAAGCCAGATTTAGGTTGAATATGAGGAAAAATTTCTTAACTGTTAGAGCAGTACAACAATGGAACCCATTACTTGGGAGGTGGAGAGCACTCCAACGCTGGAGGCATTCAAAAGAAACTTGGACAACCATCTGTGAAATCTAGTTTGATTTGAATTCCTGTTCTTAGGAGGAGGTTGGACTTGATGGCTTTATAGGCCCCTTCAGACTCTGTTATTCTGTGATTCTATGGTTCTATATTGGTTTTTTTTTCTTTTTCATTGTGGGGAGAGTTATTTAGTGCTATGGTGCTTCCAGTTTGAAAGCTATGTCTGCTGAAAGTTTTGTAGTCCAGAGCTCTCAATTAGCTCTCAAACATCACCATAAACAACGAAGCTAGAATAGAAGCTTCAGCAGAGAGCTGGAAATCTTTGGTTAAGATTTCATGCAGGTATGCTATTTTCATTAAAGAGAAAAGAAATGGCCTTTTGAGGGGAAATTACACAGTGAAAGGAGTGTAGAAGTTTTGTCCATTTGGAAAAGTCCTACGTTTTGCTTCGACCTGAGATGGCAAATCAGTGTGTCTGGGCTATACCACTTTAGACTGCAGAAAGGGGGAGGGGGTTAAATGAATTTTCTTTCCTTAGAAAAATGACACCACACATAGAAATAATCACACCAGGTAACTTGGGTAGGACTCTTGGATGACATTCAGTATTCTGAATTTTCTCCCACTGTTCAGGAGCACTCTGTCGTAGGAGTCCCCATCTGCAGCCTCAGATGGTACAGCCTCCCACAGTAACATTAGATCTAGGAAATCGTTAGTTGCAACCAGTTCACATTCTGTGGATTTAGGTTTTATTCAGACATGCACAATTTGGTGATGAAGTTCACATTAGGGTGGTAGCTGGCTGCCTTATACTAACTTGGACCAGCGATCCATCTACCTCTGTGTTATCTACACTGACTAGCGTGTCGTTAGAGGGTCTTTTCCAGCTGCAGTTGAGACCTTCTGCATACAGCATGAAACCTTTATGATTGTGCAAACACTTCTTGTACGTATTAGAGCTTACTACTTTCCCTTCAGGTTTGAGTGACAGAATATGTGATGTGGAAACTTCCTTTGAAGGCCTGTACGAATATTAGCCTGATGTACATCATTAGCTGTTCCCTTCCAAAGGTGGAGGGGACTGTCGCATCTACGGGTCTCCATGTGAAATGACCTCATCACACGTGTCTCCTGAAATGTGATAGCTGAAGGCAAATGTACATTTGCTGCTGTATCGTATCACTGGCCTAATGAGCATATGGACCGGACTGTACGCCTGTCATAATTACTTCTTCTGGAATGTCGCGAAAAGGATTTAAGACATCTAGCCATACCTAATTTAAACACCTTAATTGAAGGCAGTCTTCTCCTGTCACAACCGGATGCCCTCCAATGGACATCACCTCATTCATGTCAGTCCAAACGAGTGTGGCCAGGGGTGAAAGAGGTGGGAGGTTACAGTCTCATACATTTCAAATGCCCCACGTTGGGACTCCCTGACATAAGTTATTCCTATTAAACAGACAGCATCACCATTTCCAAGACAGAATATGGCTCTGAAATTATTTCATTGCAGCTTGCGATAGAGGGGAGGGTCACCATACATTTCAAAGCCAACACTAGATTTTTTTGATGTAGCCAGAACTTGCTGCTTTGCCAGTTGTGTGATGCAGACCTGCAAGCGTCTTTGTTCAGAATTCAGCCCCATGGCGTTCAGTGAGCCTTTTTCCACAGGTAATTCGATTCCGCATTGATTTCAAAGTTCTAATGATCACATACAAAGCCCTAAACGATTTAGGACCTCAATACTTGGCGGAACGCCTCTCCTCCCACCTAGATCTACTCATATTACCCGATCTAGCCAGGAGGGGCGACTAAGGAGCATAACGCCAAGGGAGGCCCCGAAAGAAAAAAAAACAAGACACCGGACCTTCTCGGCAGTGGCTCCCAGTCTCTGGAACAAGCTCCCCCCCCCCGAGATTCGTCTGGCCCCCTCGTTGGGCATTTTCAAAGACCAACTCAAGACCTGGTTATATAGACAGGACTTCCCTCCGGGCACTACATAACTTCCTCTTTTTCTACTGTGTTCTGTGTAAATGCTGTAAATTGTTATTTGATATTAATTGATTTTATTCTGCATTTTGTGAGCTGCCCTGAGTAGACTATGTCTAAATGGGGGGCATATAAGCTCAACCAACCAAAAGATAGATAGATAGATAGATAGATAGATAGATAGATAGATTGATTGATTGATTGATTGATTGATTGATTGATTGATTGATTGATTGATTGATTGATTGATT